TTATCCGACCGTATACTTCTTAAAAAACGAAGAGCGTTTTCTTTATTACGCACTGCAACCTACGCAGAACTTGGCGAAGACATGAACTGTAAGTGATCACGTAAAATTAGTAATCAGTTTTGAGTAAAAACTGTTCAAAAGCTAAGTAATAAACTCTTTAAAGTCAAGTCCAGGATGTTTGTACCACACAGTGTTGGAATTCTGTCTCTGGTAGAAGAAATCCGGCACCTATTTTCTTGTTTCATTCAATTGGCAGTTATTGATTGGCTCAAGTTAATTGTATATGTGAGCAGTTGAACGGATATATAGTTCAACAAACAAAATGGACATTCCTTGGCGCAATGCAACACGTATGATGCGTTCGGGGTTCGCGTGACCGTGTCGGTGGATTTTGAGCGACTAGTGATGCAAAAGAACTGTTACTTTTCCAAGTGAGCACTGGGCGGCGCGCAGTGCATTTTTTTTTGTAGTTTGCAAAACTGAACAGCAGGTGGCTCAAATTAACAATAATTTGGATCGCCTTCTGGATTTAAGCTTTTGGGCCTTCACTGCGAACAGCTACAGCCCTTGTGATCAACAGCTGAGAGCACTGGGCCGCGTTTAACTACCACATGCTGGAAATATTCTTTTGTGTGTTCTCGTCACAATATTTCTGTTTGATTTTTTTTAATGAAGAGAATGTACAAAAACAAAATCTGCATTTCAATTAGTAGTTTTCTGTAGGCCTGTTCTTCTCAATAGATGGAAGAGAAAAATACATACTGATTTCACATTGCCCTTATTTACAGTGCACATTTAGTGAATTTGGTACATTTTCAAAGTACTGTTGCATATTCTCCTTTGTCCCAAAAAAATGTTGCGTTACATATGTGTTGAAAGCAGTAAAGAGCTGGTTGCTACTCCACACAAAATAAGCAAAACTCCACTGTGTGGTGTGTTCATAATTTGTACTGCATTTCTTCTAAATAAGTAGGCCCAAGGTAGGAATGAATTGATATCCTTTTCCGTTACTTGTAACAAATGCTTTAAATTGTATATGTTGAATCTGAGGAAGGAACTTTGAAGAGGAACTGATGACTAAGACCATATCAGTGCTTTCAAACTCATTTGGAGCCCCTTGGTGTTTCAGCATTGAGGCTATGCATATCAAAATGGGATATCCAGTTATACTTACTGAATACTAGCCGCACAGTCAGTAAAGATAAGGTCAAAGTATTTGGGTGTCTTGTCTTCTCAATTTCTTACCATTAATGGGATATTTACAGCCTTGTAAAGAATGCTAAAACTTTCAGGTTAAACACCTTCACTCAGAATAGCAAAGTCCTTGCCTGCCGATATAATCAATCATGAGAAAAACCATGAGTAGGGGTCAGCAGTGCTGAACTGAGGTGTTGCACGATGTGTAACATGGTGAGCCAAGCTTCTGATAAGCAGCAGATTACAAGCCTGATTGTAAAAGGGTGTTGATCCATCCATCATTATCAGAAAGCCTCTCAGTGCTTGCAGAAACCCAGTGCTGGATACTCAGGGAGTAATTAAGGATTGCACACTTTAGAATCTTTTGGATAAGTCCGTAACTTATTTTGGAGATGGTAGTGTAGTATATTATTTCAGTAACTAATTGCTGTTGGGGGACTACAACATTGTAGGTAGTGCTGCTTCTTCACAGCCCTCCAAACCTGGGTTTAATTCTTGAGTGGTACAGTACATCTTCTATGGGGAATGTTAGGTTCTCCCCCTTTTTGTGTGAGGGTTTTCTCTGTTTTTTTTTCCATCCTATAAATGTGTTCAAAATGAATGCTGTCAAAATGAATCCTCAATGTTTTTTTTATTTTGGTTCTATAATGGTTTCATAAAGCCTCTGGAAGTGAGCACGGAAGTGAAACACTCAGTACCTCTTCATTATGGGGGCAAAGCCAGTGAACTGTCTGAAGACCTCTGCTGGTAGAGGTTAAAAACATAAGACATCCCTGCTTCAGTAGGTTTCACTTTTCAGTTTTCAATTGGTTTAGCAAGATAAGTGACACCCAAGTGAAACAAGTAGGAATCTACAAAAATCCAGGCATCACCAGGACACAATATATGCAATTTAAGGTTGATCTTTTAAATGAGGAGCCAGTAACGGAGAGCCAGAGTTACATACAAATGGTCAAATGGGGCCACATGATGTGGTTAGCTGAAACACAAGTCTTTGGACAGCCTTCCCTAGAGTACAGTTAGCAGAGAATAGTGAAACTTGTTTTAGAAAAATAATGTCTTCTGTGAGGAATAGAAAGAGCTTGGTTTTTCTTAAGGACTATTTTTAGTCCTCTGGTCCTGATGCCCTTGTCAGAATTGAGAGACAGAAGGATTCTAAAGCATATCAGGATATTTTATCCAAAAACCTGGTTACTGTTAAGACATTTGACCTTCGTGACAACCCTTCCAGAAGGGCAATGGAGAACAAGGAATACCTACATACTGTATCTGCTAACTGTTTGAGGGGAGCACAGAATCAACATTCTTAGCAATATGAACTAAGCAAAGCAGTTCGTAAGTGTAAATCCTGTACTCTGAAGGAGCTGGAGAAGTCCACATGGAGGAATGGTCTAACATCCCTACTGATAATAGCCTGAAATTACTAAAAGGCTATACAGTAGGAAGCACCTTCTCTATTACATCGAGGCCAAAGAAGGATCATCAAATACTGTTGGCCTGTGCATTAATAATTTTGAACATTGCGTATATTTGATCTGTTTTAGACCCTTTTTTTTTAGCATATCTAGTTCTGATTTTCTAACACTTAAAGTTTATTTTATGCAGTAAATACTGCATGTACACAGTTTTAGTTACATCATATTGAGGGTAGGAAGAAATTTAGAGTCAACTGTTTCTACATACTGCTCTATGTAAAATGTGAAGTGCCCATCAACTATATCAGCAATGCTGGTCCTGTTTTCTGGTCTTAGGCAGTACAACCCATCTGCTGTCCTGTGATACATCTGTATAAGTCAATGGATGTGATGGAATTCTCCAAACAAATCCTGTAAAATGTTAACAGTGGAACAATAAATGTTAAACTGTATTCAATGGATTGAATGTTGCACTAAATGATACATAGGTAGGCATACAACATATGCATGATTAATGAGATTATATGTGATAATATCCAGGTCTTGCACCATCTGTGTAATAAAAAATAATATTTTTTTATAAAAATAATAAAATAAAAAAAATGATTATCTTTTGTTCTTCCAAATATTAAGAGGACATGCAGAACAACATTTTTGTGCTGCTCAATCAAGGCCTCAAGACGATGTTAATTTGCAGGACAATTTAAAGTACCTTAAACAGAAGCAGACAACATTGGTGCAGTTGTCAGAAAAAAATAGTTGCCTTATTTGAAATAATGTGAGCTGAAGACATTTTTGCAAGTACGACAAACTGTGTGTCCAAGGCATAAATAAATCTTCTCAGGTTCAAGAGATTCAGGACACGATAGCTCAAAAGAGTCCTGCTACAACCCAGTACAAGTATTTTTGCGTATTTTTTTACCATGCTACTGCCCTTGAAATACCAGAAGGAGAACTTATGATTGTGCTTCAAATGCGGAAAGTTCAAGGATTTGGATAAGGTTTAGGGAGGAGCAACACACCCATAATACAAAAAATTATTGACATTTTTTTCCCAAAAGATATCACATAATGGACAGCACAAAATTCCTCTTAAAAAGCCACTAAGCGACAAGGCTGTTTACTGAGGCTTTCAGACACAAATGTTTTCTGAATCTTGCCTCTCAGCCAGCACAATGAACACATCTCATAAGGAAGTAAATGCAGGATGAGTCACAGCTATCTCTCACCAAGCTCAGCTTCTGTTTGGAGGACTGAAAGGCTACAAGGTAAGTGAGGTGCTGCCCTTAAGTGAATTAGTGCTTCCTGTCCTTTTCAGCATTCAAACCACAGTGCCTGGTACTGGAAATGTGAATAAATTCCACCTTTTACACCAATTTAAATTAATTGTTCTACATTCATGACAGACACATTTCATTCTAACCTTTCTCTATGTTTATATTATCTTCAGTATTATTTCATAGTATAAGCTACTAAAAAATCACTAAAATCCATGTTTTATTATTTTGTGCGGCTGGTTAAAACATATGCTTATATTACATATATAATATATACTGTACAAAGATTTTGTTTTTAGAGCCCAGAGCTTTATGCTTTGACACTCTTTGGAGTTCAACACAATAACCTAAATATCAATGTATATTGAATACACTAGTTTCACAAAATTGCTTACCAAATAATGACAAGTACAGTGGATGTGATACTGTATAACTTAGAGGTTAAGATACTGTTTACCAATTACAGTCTGCTAAAGGACTGAACTAAAGGGAGAAATGCTATTCTGCCGTTAACTCTGTGTGCTGGAAATAAAGAGGTCAAGCTATGGTAATGGTTTTTAAAAGCATACATGTTGACAGACTGTTGAAATAAAAATTAACAGTCCAAAATGAACTTCTCACAAAATGAGCTCTGATCATACATATGAATCCTCACCATATCATTATAAGCTACCTAGCTTGTATTAGAATGGACAAAGCCAAATTCAACAAGTATCTCTTTACATACCGATATATCAGTAACTATCTCAAATTAAGCACAAATGGGTGGAGCATAAAATGACTTTTTGGATAGCCTGTATTTGAAAGATGATTTGTGTCTAATTTATACCTATAATTTTCCTGTATCACCACTATTCATGTTCCATTGCCATTTTACACCATGCAGTTTCTTGTTAACAATGCAATTGATAATATTGACCAGTTATCAAAACATTATGTGCATCTCTTAATGCTACAATTTCACTGCTTCAGGCTACAAAATACTTCCAATTTTTAAAACACCCAGGCCTCTTAATCTGCATAGGATTACTTGAAATTCCCAAATGCCAGTATTTTTAATAATAAAAATAGAACACCAAAGAGCTTCCTGGAAGTGTGAAAAAAGAAACTATACTTTTAAAAAAAGGGTTTATTTACTTCAGAAGCATTCAGAATGTCAACAAAAACAGCTGCATTTTTTTTCTTTTTGCAATTACAGAGTGGTATTCAAAGTACAGTAAAAGAACTTTATGATACGGCAAAAAATTAAAAAAATAAAAAATAAAAAACACAAATACAACTGGAAACGAACTACAACCCCACATAAAACTAGATTTTGTGCTGTGCACCACCAGGAAACCTGCAAATTCCATGCCGTTTTACAACCCCCAGAAACTGTACCAGGCAAGGTTAGTGGCTTAAGAACTACCACTAAAAAACAAAACACAGGGCTATCTAAAGACACTTCCGTAGTGTTAACTATACAAAAAAAAAAACACTGTACAGCTTAAAAACATTTCATATACACAGCCTTACATTTTTTTGTTTTTTTTTTCTTTTTTTATAGGAGTGAAGTGTGTACAGGGGGGTTAAATGCTTTATAAACAAGAAACTAAGCTCTGATTTATTCATCATCATCTTCATCATCTTCCTCCTCCTCCTCTTCTTCCTCCTCGTCGTCGTCATCGTCGTCCTCTTCCTCCTCCTCCTTCTTCTTCTTGGCCTTCTCCATCTTGGCAGGAGCTTTCTTGGCACCATCGGTCTTGCCCTTGGCACGGTACGCGGCGATATCCTACAAGACAAGACACCCGGTCTGCGATCAGTATGATCCACCATACAAGTGGAACATTCATATTACCAGTTGATCCCTAAGGCTTCCTGTAAGGAGATTCTTTAGGTGAACAAATTCGTACCCTGCACAAAAGACACCCTTTGTACCTGTCTGATTTAAGGGCATTTATGTTTTAAAAAAAGACAAGACTTCACTTGTGTTCAATACACACTCCATTACGATGATGCACGTCAGAAAGGATGCTAAGAGATGACTTTAAACACAAAACAGCACCCAACATGGAATTATGATCAACCCACATTTAAAATATTAAGTTAAGTCAACTGCATACCCCTACACCATGCTGAAAAGGGTAAATGCCCATTAGAGGCTAAAAAACCTGAGATCTGCTTACTAGTGTAAAACAAGAATGTGACGTCTGTTCAACAATGGCAAAGTAAGCTCTCCGTTTCATTGCTTTAACTTTTTCTTCTGCCCCAAGAATACCTTTTCGTATTTCTCCTTCAGCTTGGCTGCCTTCTTTTCATAGGGCTGCTTATCCTCAGCGGTGGTTTTATTCCACATCTCCCCTAATTTCTTGGCAACATCACCAATGGACAATCCAGGGCTCTCTCCTTTAACTTTTGGGCGGAAGTCGGAGCAGAATATGAAGAAAGCAGATCTGAAGGATCAAAACAAAATGCATGTTAACTGTAAAAACTCCAATTCCATTCTTGAGTTCCTTCCATTAAGGGTTAAAGCTTCACATGAATCCAGATATACTTACGGGGGCCTTTTTGGTGCATTAGGGTCTTTTGTCCTCTTCTTCTTCTCCCCCTTGGGCGGTATGTAGGTTTTCATCTCCCTTTCATAGCGTACCTTGTCTTGCTTTGCTAAATCCTCAAACTTGCTCTTTTCTTTGGCAGACATGGTCTGAAAAGCCACACAAGCAACAATGAAAAACACTATTTGTGTAAGGAACAGTTAATCAATTGCTTTTTTTAAACTTAATTCAATTCAGATTCAAATGCATAACCAAAACAGAAAAAAACACTAAACTCCTAAAGTCCAAAGACTACTAAGCTCTTACACAAATGTATTTTAATATGCTTTCCGACAAGTTATTTTTTTACACTCTCTTCCACTTAACCCTTGGAACCTCGTTTGGTTTGCAGATGGTTACATGGAGGTGCACAGCCGCAGATGAAAAAATAAAAACCGAAATGCAACTCAATTCTAAAAAACAGGATGGAAGTTTTGCCATGCACAGATCCCACATCCTGCACTCCCTCTGTCTCACCTTCCATCGCTCGGAGCACTTCTTGGAGAACTCGGAGAAATTCACAGAGGCATCAGGGTGTTTCTTCTTGTGCTCCTCCCTGCAGGTCTGCACGAAGTAGGCATACGAGGACATTTTGCCTCTGGGCTTCTTAGGATCGCCTTTACCCATCTTGGAATTTGTCGTCTACAGTGAAGAAATAAAGCAACATTCGCAGAGGTCAACCCCTAAAGCGCAATATAAGGGATCAATATAGCCCTTCACTGAGCCCCTGCACTCTTATTTCCCCATGTGTCACCGGTACTGACACTGGGCAGTTATGAAAAGGACTCTCAAGTGTGGAGAGCCGCGGATACTCCAGTCACTGGCGATGCCTGCTGCCTAGCCTCTTCAGCGACTGTTTCCTTTGAGCTGGCATCGGGACAAAATCTTAAAAAAAAATTGCTTATGTCTGACTAAACATGTCCGGTTTTGAAAGTTTCTAGTAAACAAGGCGAAAATCAAGTCACTAAGCAACTGGTATACGTTATCAGCTGTAAGCTGTTATTCGCCCATTCTTTTCCACGGAGTATGTAAGAAAGCATTTATTCCTAAAACATTATTTTGTTAATAAGCTAAAGCTTGTCTTAACCTCCAAATCCTTTTTTTTCCACGGTATCGTGTTGATAGTTGAACCACAAAAAAAAACCTTTTTAACAACAACCGACCCGCGAAAATGACGTGTAAAAACCATTATGTGAGAGATTATTTAAACGTTTAGTTAACTAAAATGTCCAAAAACAATAAAAAAATGTTGTTTACATTTTTAAAAATATTTGTTATGTACAGAGTCCACTTAAAATATGTAAGAATTGGTATAAATCAATTGTTTATTAAAGATGATAATAAGAGTAAAAAGTTATTTTAACAAAAAAAAATCTATTTCAAAAAGTGGCCAAAACCACATAAAAATCCACAAAGAAAACTATTTCCTTTCACCTTTAAATTTAATAATTGAAAACGTATCAAATTCGAAAAAAATGCACATTTTTTGCCATATTTCCCTATTAAAAAGCAGCTCTTTCGGTGTCAGTAAGTAGTAAGGGACTAGCAATGGCGCATCGGCTCTTGTTGAGGAAAAGGAGGTCAACAACGACAGCAATATTTCTTCTTCCATTTTGTGAGAAAGCCTTCTTCATGAAAGAAAGTCCCCTTCAAATGTCTCCACCCGCCTTCCTGTTCGGTTTTTTACCCCGCAAACACGTTGGCAAAGCCCGTGTTCCTGTCTGAGTTTTCTCCGAGGATCCCTATGCACTAGTCCCGGTGTATAGTAATACATTGGGTCTGTACTATGTGCGGTTTGTATTGAGTTAGTTTCCTATTGAGCTCGGAATGGCCGCTTGTCTTCGTCTACTAACACAGAGAATATGGCTCCTTCTCTTTGTGTCAATACACAGCCATTACACTTGCATTGCAATAGAGGGCACACCGGCCGGGATACCCACCTCTTTTTAAACTGGGATTTAAACCCTTTCCCGTCCCCCGAAAATCGCAAACCCCCCGCCATCGGAAAGAGGAAAGGTGCAATTTTCGCCCACCGTCCCCAAAACGCCAACTTTACCACAGATTCGGGGGGAAAACGCGGTTTTAAAAAGTTGAAGCGAACTGCGCTCTCATCCCAGGCTCCCCTACTGGCTCAGCCTTGTTTTCTATGCGAGAGTACAGTCAGCCATATTACAGTAAAGCGCAGATCCTGAGGTATTTTTTTTTTTGCTCGTTTGCACATCGTCAAATTAATAAAAATGCAGCATCATACATATTTATTATCTTTATTTTTCCTTGGATTTTTTTCCCTCGCCTTTTCCCTAGTTATCTCGGTCTTGAGTCTTTACTTGACAGCCTTCTCGGTCTATGCACTGCAATGGCTATGTAATGCTACGGGAGCTTGTTTGTACGCAATTTCTCCACTTAGCTATTTTTTTAAACAAAATCCCGAGTCATCAAATCCCCACATCAGATCAAAGTTACAAAAATATTAGATTAAAAAGACTAATTCGCTTCTACGGTTTAAAAAACTTACCGTTTACCACAGAAAATGCCACAGACGTTATTTTTTTATTTTTTACAATGAGCGGCTGGCTAATGCTAATAAAGAGGTCTTGTTTTGACTGTTTCCTTACAAAGAAAAAAATATATTTCCACAAATAACATTTTCTCTTGATCAATGCCTTCATTGTTTTCGGATGTGGAAAAATATGACTTTGCGATCAGCTCCTTTTTATACTTACCTACACTTTCGGATTTCTGTATGCAATACTTACCGAAAGCTGTCACTGTATCTCAATGCACTGCAATGGCTGTATGTGGGAACGATAGCGATACGCAGTCTCCTCAGTCTTCGGATCTGTAACATTACTCTCAGTGGGGCTCGCACCCCATTGGCTACCGCCAACTCTGCTCCTCTTCCGATTGGAGAATGGCTTTCCATTGTCCTAATCAGAGCCGCCACACCATTGGCCGTCTTTTGAGAAACGTCACCAAAGTTTTAAATGGCGCGTTTATATGAAAAAAGTTTCTGACTCCGGGCTTCAGGCGGGCTGCTGCAAGATAGTGTAACTGTGTTTGCTATAGTACAGTGTTCTATGTGTTGCACATAGGGTATTAAATGAACGAGGCAATGTAGAGCTACTGTATGCAATGAACACACAAGCTGTAATCTCGGTTACCTTCCAAATACTTACGTGATCCCGTTGACTCTTGAGACATCTCCTCTGCATATTCCGTCAGGAGCAATGCTGTCTTTATTTACAAATAGTGCATTTTTAAAATTTAATACAAATTTATGTTTTTTCAGATTTTATTTTTCAAAAATGGCATTGTATAAACGGGTACCTGAACAGCTTTAGTGGAACAATATTAAATATAAAAATAGTAAATACGCACTATTCATTTGTTTTGACTATCTTAAGTGTTCATTATCATGCAAGTGTAGCAATAAAACTGTTGACACATACGAATGTATAAAACGCTATAGAAGTAACTTCTAATTATTATTCGAACGCGCCAATACGTTTAAGTTAAAAAAAGTGTCGTGGAATCTTAAAAACTGAAAATATACTTCTCCAGGTTTGAAGTGAAATTTTTGTACACCGTATTAGAAACGTTTTGAAATAGAATACATTAAATTTTCAAAACAAAACGTCCATTTACTTCAAAGCGAAGGCATCTGTGAAGTGCAAATACGCCTTTAAATTCATTTTCAGGGTGTTAGGGATAGTTTAGTATAATGTACAACGCTGCCCACCATCCATAGCTAATTTTACACTACCTTTACCTATTCAAGGTGTATTTCATAAGTGCAAAAGTTACTTTTCAAAAAAGCAAAAAAACGTTTTAGGCTTAATTTTAAGCACGATATAACAAAGTTTATATACAACTTTTCAGAGACGAATCCAAGTTCTGTGTCATATTATATTGGGGGGGGGGGGGATTAACTATTATTTAAAAGGGAAGATACACACTGTTAATACAATAAGAACTTACATGTTCAATTATTTGAGTCTTGACGCTTGTGTGCTGTGAACTCGCGTTCCTAAATTGATGAGTTTTATAACAGCAAGGGGTAATGACAACCGAATAAACAAGTAAATTAATTTGCATATCTCCTTTACCCGCAATGGTCTGGAAAATGTAGATTCACAGCACAAGTCTGTGGACTTTGTCTTTTATCTAAACAGCTGCCTTGGGAAAAGAGACATGTAAAATATGTTTAGAACCATGATCCAAGAGATGTACTGTCTTTGAAAATATAGGCATATAACAGTAAATATGTTTACGAAAGGGGTTTTTAGAAGAGAGGTTAAGTGTTTTTATCGCATTTTCAGCAATCAAGACTCCTTTTAATTTCAAAACAATCATCTCACTGTTGGTTTTGAGAATCCACAGGACTTACTTACTAGGGAGTATTGAAGCAATTTAAAAGAAAAAAAATGAAATTCTTCAGTGAACCTGAGGAACAGTTTCCTATTACAAAGAGGCCTTAGAGGGTCTTGTATACAGTATATTGCAAGTGTATTTGATGACTCCTACTGTATGTCATTACTTAAGAAAGACAGTAATGTTGATTTGCATTTATTTCAATTCCAGTGTCACAGTGGCAGTGCTTAGTATTGTGATGCTCTTGAAGTTCCAGAGTGTGTACTGACAGCTTTTGCCTCCATGGCATGGTACTGCTTTTTCCATTACTGTGGTCTGTGCTCAATAATGAAATGCACTGTTTTTATTCTCAAGTCTCAAGAGAGGTTGCGCTCGGTAAAGAACTATCCAGTGTGTGTCACCAAAGGTCAGGCACAAGCTCAGTTTTAAGGAGTCTATCATCCTCTGAGGAAACCCACAGGTAAGCCATCAACAGAAATTTTCCACAAGTTTCATTTTTCTGTTGGTACCTTTGTTATTTTTGATACTGGCAACTTATTTTGGGAGGGAGGGATGAAGTGACTGAGGGGGTGGCACATTAGCAGAGTGGTTCATGCTGCTTCCTCGCAGAGCTGGGGCCCTGAGTTCAACTACCAACCTGAGGTGCTATCTGTGTGGAGTTTGAACGTTGTCCCTGTGTTTGCGTGGGTTTCCTGCCACTGTCCAAAGACATACGGGTAGGTTAATTGGCTTTTGGAAACTTTTGACTCTGGTGTGTGTTTGTCTGTGTGTCAATCCTGCACTGGACTGGCATTTTGTCCTGGTTGTACCCTGCCTTGTGCCCACACCTTGCCAGGATAGGCACTAGGTCCCCAGCGACTCTAAATTTACAGTAAATAAGCAGTTAGAAAATGGATGGATTTAGTTCAGTTCTGCCATTAAGACTTCAGATGAAGCAAAGATGGACACTGTAGTCCATAAGGACTGTATTTCACCATGCCTCACCTCACAGAGACCCATGCAAGTAATTCAATGCCCAGTTTAATACACATACACTAGAGAAAATATATTAATAACATGATTTTTTAATCATACCATTCCCCTCTCCAGTGATATTATTTTAAACAATAATAAATGGGCACAGTGCCATTTAGTGGTGATATGTTTTAAGTGACACAAAAAGTTTACAAAAGATCGACATTTTTACTGTATGTCAAACAAATCACACACATAGTTTAGGGCAGCCCAGTGGTCAAAAAGTGTAAAGACAATCAAATTTTTATTGAAAAATAAAGGTAACTGGTTAACATGATTTTGTAATGTAAACCAAGAGAAATTTGCAATGAATTCTAAAATTTTAATATGAGGAATAAGAACCTGTTCTAAATTAAATTTGGTTTAACAAGCGATGATTTTTAAATTAATTTTATTATTAAGTAAATAATCATTCATAATGTTTTAAAATAATATACAATATGTGACACTGCCTAACAAATTACAATTAATTGCAACATTAAACACTTAGTAAACAGTAAAATTAAAATATATATATTAGTAGGCAAAATCATTTATTGCCATTACTTAAAAATGCCTAATTTGATCCCAAGTTATTGACAAGAAAGTAGTTATTCTAAGTAGATATTCTAGAAAGTAGTAATAAGCTAGAGGGTTATTACTAAAGATAAAAAATCAACTAGATTCAGACAATTTTAACAAAGTGCCAACAAACCTACAGTACTGAGTCGAGGAGGCGTGAAATACACAGTAAAAAGTAAATCAAATTAGTTCTGTAAAGAAATTTATTTGTTCAACATATTATTTTAAAAGCCATTCTATATTAAACAGGAATCCAGTAAAGATTTATTTAGCTCACAGGGGAAAACTACAATCAGTTTAATTGACATTAACAATTAAACAGCAAAGTTTACAACTTTCAATGAAAACCATACAGCCATCATTGGTGAGCCAGCCAGAAACAAATGCAATTTGAAAGGTGTCAAATCCTATATGTTTGATTTGCAGCACAATAAGCTATAGTGAATTATATAGTGAATATCACATTGCAAAGATATTTTTAAATGTATAAAAATTTTGTAAAATATGTTCTTTTCTTTTATGATTTTTATTTATTGAAATTCATATTTATGAAAATATTTGAGAAAGCATATGATTCATGTAGATGCTAAATACAATACTGAAAACAATATTTATTTATTCAGCTTTATATTGCATCTTGCATTTTTAAAAGAGACCAGTCCTTAGTCCAGCGGCAAATTTAGAGATTTAATGTACTGTAAATAATACTGTAGAAATAACTTAATGCCACACACATACAGACATGAAATGGACCTCTGGAACAAAATAAAATGTAGCAATTCTTTTCAGGTTAATATATTATACATAGCTATTAAAGATTCAGTAAAAAACAGCACTCCTGCTGATCTCTAATCCAGTAAAGTGGTGCTCCTATGAATTTATTCTTAAATTATGTTTTTTTCTGTTGCCATTGAGACAAAGAATGTGAGTCTGTGCATTGTATTCACATGTTCTTCATCTGCCGACATGGCCAGGTATACCAGCAAGTCAATTTTTTACAATATGGCATAAAGGTGTACAATACGTTCCCAACAGGGAGAAAAATAGAGTTCAATCCTCCCTCACCCCAGCAGATTAACAAACTCTCAACAACCTGTAAACACAAGGGGACTGAATTTTCTTTTATAGTTTATAAATTGATCCCAGTGTGACTGAGTCCACAAATGGAGGCTTTTATGTGCAGTAAAAGTGTGTTAATCCTAACATCATTAAACAATCAGAGCAACAACAAACCTTGCCCCTTCTTTGTTTACAAAAGCAACCATCAGACAAAAAGAGTGTTGGAATTTTGTCTATCAGCCACTTCAATTGCTAAACTAACAAAATGATGTACAGTGGCTCTCAAAAGTATTCACCCTCTTGGACTTTTTCTTATTTTACTGTGTTATAATATAGAATCAAAATATATTTATATGGGATATGGTTATTGGTTGACAAAAAACACACTGTAATGTCAAAGTGAAAACAAAATTCTACAGATCCTCCTAAATTAATTATTATAAATATAAAACAGAAAATAGGTGATCGTATAAGTATTCACTCCCTGTACTATGACACACCTAAATAGTCTTTAGTGCTCCCAAGTGTCTTTAGAGGTCACATAATGTGTCCAACTGTATACAATTAGGGCGTTTCGCACGAGTTCAGGATAAATGTATATTTCTCTTTGAGGTCCCAAAATTGATTAGTACAGTTCCCAACGAAAAACTACATCATGAAGGCAAAGGAACCGTCAAAATAAATCTGGGATAGGGTTCTTAAAAAAGCACTAATCAGGGTAAGGGTAGAAGAACATCTCCAAAGCATTACACATCCCCCAATACACACTAAAGTTCTTTATAAAGAAATGTAGAAAATATAACTGCGAAACTGTGAAGAACAGGGTATCCTCAAAAACTGATTTTTCAGGTGAGAGGAGCACTAATCAAAGAGGCCACCAAGTGGCTTTCACAGCTGAGATGGGAGAAGCTGTGCATTTGACAATTGCCTGGGTGCCTTACAAATTTGAGCTTCATGGGAGACTGACAAAAAAAACAGACCAAATTTCAACTACACTTTTCCAGAAGGAGATGTCTTCCATGTAGAAGACTCTGAGACCAAGTGGAAGAAGATTCTATGGTCTGACAAGACCAAAATTGACTTTTTCTGGCCTCAATGGTAAAAGTTTTGTTTGGTTCAAGCATAACAGTGAACATAATCCCAATTGAAGCATGTAGGTGGAGCATCATGCTATTAAGAGCTTAGCTGCATTAGGACCTGGAATATATGTGAAGACAGAAGGCAAAATGGATGCAAAAAAGCAGAGACAAATCCTGGAGGAAAACCTGCTGCAATCTGCAAGAGACATAGGACTTGGGAGAAGATTCATCTTCTAGAAGGACAATGACCCAAAACATACTGTATAGCCAAAGCCACACTGGAGTGGTTTCAAAAGAAAAAAAGTCAATTTTTCTGGAGTGACCCAGTCAAAGCCTAGACCTCAATCCAATCAAAAATATATGGCAGGAGTTGGAAATTGCCATTCACCAACAGTACCCATCCTACCTGAGAGAGTCTGAGTCATTTTGTATACAAAAATGGGCAAAACTTTCTGTGCCCAAATGTGCAAAGCTGGTAGAAACTTATTCAAGAAAACTTATGGCTGTAATTTTCTGTCAGTCAAAAACAAAAACTCCCAGTTAAATACATTTTTATTCCACATTATAACACAATAAAGTGTACAAAAGTTCAAGGGGGTGAAAACTTTTGATAGTCACTGTAAAATACATATTTTAATTAAAATAATTTCTTACACTTATAAAGTACTTTACAGGTAATGAGGACGCACGCCTTCTCCACCACCAATGTGCAGCCCCCACTTGGATGATGCGATGGCAGCCAAAGCGCACCAGTATAGATACCACATATCAGCTATCTGTGGGGAGGAGAACAGAGTAATGAAACCAACTGATACAGTAGATGTGGATTATTAGGAGGCCATGATTCGTAAAGGCTGGGAGTGGAATCTGGCAGGACACCAGAGTTAACACCCTTAATCTTTTTGAACAGGGGTTTTGTGGAATGAGAAATTCTCAAGGGTATAGCGATGGAATATATTATTTACATAGAGCTACCCATGTTTAGTGTCAGACTTTTCATTACTTTGATTAAAGATGGATTTTGTTTTTCTTTGCAAGACTTTGTTATTTCCCACACTCTGACACTCCAAAGACAGTGGATCAATGGAAATGAAAATGAATGATAAATGTATACATCCAAAATGAATTCAACTTGTTCACATTTATTAAAGTGGGCATTTTACTGGAGCAATCTGAGTGAAGTATCTGGCTCAAGGGTACAACAGAAGTGCTCTACTATGCATTTGAACTGTTCCAGTTCAGTTTAAGTCCAGAGCCTAAGACACTCCACCAAACTGGCGAGCAGACTTCAAAGTCACTATGTCTGCAGGAGGAAAAAGCTTGCATTCAAGAGTTAAGGTAAAAAAAAAAAACTATTCACATTTCCTCTAAATTAAATTTTGTGATAGAAGTGTTTAAAGTATCATTCATCATGGTTACTGTGCAAAACAATGCCTGATTTATCTATATTTAGGGAGTGCACTTATAACAAATATAACAAAAGTAATGTGTCTATTTGGCACCTACAGGTACCCTGCAAGAGAGATGTAAAAGCACCCTGATGACAGGAGAACTAGGATCACTTATTTGTTGTTAACATGTTATTTCAGGAGTTACCAGTAAGCCACTCGTTAGTTATTGGTAAAATAAATAACAGTACATAACAAATAATGAAAACCTTGCATAAAGGCAGTATAGTACTATACACTGTACAGCAGGTACTTATTCTTACCCTTTGACACTAATATATAAGTTGCACGTGCTCTAAATGTTTCAAATGTTCCACTAACAAGATATGTAGTAGCAAGATATCAGGCTCTTACTAGCACAAGCTGTGTTTCAGTAATAAAGCAGTAATACCAGGCTAAGGGGGTACCCTTAAATGTGTTACCAGTTCTGCTCCTGACATCTTTGATAAATTCGTCGGATCTTCAGGTGTCCTCTGGACTCCAAAATTCAAACTGGACCAATTGTTTCTGAGACATTAATCTCAACCACATAATTGGACAGAATACAAACGTTATAATAGTTAAGAACCTTTTAACGTAACACTTTACTGTTTCATTTTTTTAATTTAAACTGTTAATGTGTTTAATAATTTAAATATATATATAAAACGTTCACTTTTGGGCCTAACTTTTTTTAGTTTCCTCAAGCATACACCGTGTGATCGATTTTCTAATAGCTTTTAAAAAAATAGATATTATTGTTGCATGGAGCATTGAGAAACATTTTTTGCACTCCTGCTTACAGTTGGGCTACAATTAAGTCGACAGATTAGGGCCCGTCGCCTTTGCATTATAATGAAGAAAACGATGTTCTTTGTTGAGCTTAGGTTGTTTTCACAGGTGACAACATTACTACAGGATATCCACGACTGCTGTTATTAGAGACCCTTTACTACTGAGGTAGTCATGACTACCTTTTCTGTCATTACATGCTACATCACACGAAGTACGTTAGGCAGCAGCAGGATTCTTTACAAAATCTTTCATACATTTTTTTTTGTATCTAGGAACACTGCAGATGTACTGAAAATAACGTAACGATCCTATCTGCCAGGATGTGCTTAATTTTCTGGTGATTATGTTTTTAGACCGATTTACACTGAATACTTAAAAGGCATACCATGCGCTGTGTCAAATGTTCTCCAGGAGATCGTGATGCCAGTTTCTTCCCTGTTTTTCCAATCAATGTCAGAGATTATTTTAGTGGGAGACCGAGGTGTAATTGGTTTAGGCTACAGCCGGAGGCATAAACAAGTTCGGCTCTGTGTGGTACAGAAAGGAAGGTGACAATTCGCGCTGTAGCGCCACATCTTGAACCCAGGTCAGCAGTGCGCCCTTCTTATTACAACGCCTGCGCGATCCCATTCATGTGGGACTCAACCTGACGGTAAAGCCGAAAACTGTTCAAGATAACTCCTAAACAGAAACCTCGCAAAAATATTATTATGCTGATTGGGTCATCTAGTATGACGTACTGTTACAGCTATTAAACATCTCTTGAACCAGAATAGTTCGTACCGTATTTATTGTAATTTAACACATATTTTTAAAAGCTTTCCATCTATCTCTCGCCTAATAAAATATTTAATCAAAAGGTAATTACTACACTGCGGGCACCTGCCGGTTTTGTTTGATAACATCAACACTGTGTCAATGCTTAGTGCATCAAAATTAATTTTGTGAGAACACATTTGGGTTTACTACTCATTGCAGTGCTTTCTAAACTCTACACTA